TATTTTAGAACATGGGATACTTTTTATAATTGGCTAGATAAACGAGGTAGAGAGAAAGGAACGTGATATGTATTAGTAAACTAGACATTGAACCCAGACAATATGTTGCTGATAATATTTTAAGACTCCAGCCTGAAGATGACGAGTGGGACCTCGTCGAAACGTCAGCAAGATACTCTCAATCTTACACGGGAAAAGACCCGAATACGCCAAGACCTGCATACATATATATATATATGTGCTGAGGCTTTTACAGGGCTGCAAAGAACCTTAAATTAAATTAATCCATTTGTGGGCTCTTTGTATATTTTGGATGCTTCTGCCTTCCTAAGTGGGCTGATGGAATCTCCATGCTTAAGAGCAGTATATTGGAAGAGTCGTTAAGTCTCCCTGGGCTGTTTGGAAGCATTTTCCTTCTTTCCTTTCTTGAGTTTGCCTTCCAAAGGTGTCTCTTCCTTTTCCCCCCCCTGTCCATAGTCAAAATAGCCACGAAGGCCAATCCTTGGGATGGTAAAACCCTGAAGGCCGAGAGCGTCCGCTCACAGCTGGAAGAGTCTCTTCAGCGTCTGCGGCTGCCGAGTGTGGATCTCTTCTACCTCCACGCCCCGGACCACGAGACCCCCGTGGAAGAGACCCTGCGGGCTTGCAATGAGCTTCACAAAGAGGTCGGAGGATTATGGGAGTCCTGGGAAATAATGGAATATTTTTATTGTCATTGCGTAACTCACAACGAAATTCACCTTGGGCTTCAGGGCGGCCAGGCTGCCAAAGGGTGGAGGAGGCGTGAGCGCGAGCTAGAGGGATCCTCCCCAGGGCGTGAGCGCGAGCTAGAGGGATCCTCAGAGACCATCTAGTCTGACGCAGAGTGGCTGTGTTCCTGGCACAACTCTTTCTCTGCACAGTGTTGGGTTACAGCCCCATACTCCCCAGCCGGAAGGCTCAATGGGCCCAGACCGGAAGATGGCGTGTCAGCAGATCCTTGAAAAATAGGACCTAACAAATGACGGGACGATCGCTTTGTCACCCAACAGGGGAAGTTCAAAGAGCTCGGCTTGTCCAACTACACCTCTTGGGAGGTGGCGGAAATCTACACCCTTTGCAAAACCCACCAATGGCTGCAGCCAACGGTGTACCAGGTGAGCAAGGCAGGTTCGCCTTTTTAACAAAAGGTCCGTTTTCGATCCGCCGCTGGTGCGAAAAAACGCCGGCCGATTCTCTTGTTCGTGCTGCTTGGCGAACGACTTTCTGGGTGAACTCTGAAATTGTTGTTGTTTTTTGGTTTTCCCCCTGCTTGAACCCACAGGGCATGTACAATGCAATCACGCGCCAGGTGGAGAAGGAGCTGTTCCCCTGTCTCAGGCACTTCGGGATGAGCTTCTACGCTTACAATCCCCTGGCCGGTATGGAGCCTTACCTGTGGAACTGCAAGATGGGTGGAAGGATGAATGGATCTTTAGTGGGTTTGTTGATGATCTCAGGACTCTGGTGTTTCTTGAACAGGGGGCCTCCTGACGGGGAAGTATAAGTACGAAGATAAAGATTTAAGTCAACCACCCACCGGCAGGTTTTTCGGGAACGACTGGGCCAAAGTCTACCAGGACAGGTGAGTCTCTAGCAGAAGGGACTAGCATCTTGAACACAAAAAAGGTGTTGAGAGTTTGGAAAAAATCCAGAGAAGAGTAACTAAGATGATGAAAGGCCTGGAGACTAAAGCATAGAAGAACGGCTGCGGGACTTGGGTTTGGCTAGTCTAAAGAAAGAAGAAATAGGGGAGACATGATAGCAGCGTTCCAGTATCTGAGGGGCTGCCACCAGGAAGAGGGGGTCACATTATTCACCAAAGCACCAAAAGGCAGGACAATGGTTGGAAACTGATCAAGGAGAGAAGCAGCCTGGAATTAAGGAGAAACTTCCTAACAGTGATGACAATTAACCAGTGGAACAGCTTGCCACCAGATGTTGTGGATGCTTCATCACTGAAGGCTTTTAAGAAGAGACTGGACAGTCACTTGTCTGAAATGGTATAGGTTCTCCTGCTCGAGCAGGGGGCTGGACTAGAAGATCTCCAAGGTCCCTTCCAGCTTTATTCTGTTCTGTTCAAGCAGTATTGAATGGAGATTGGGTCTTTGGTTGAAACGGCCAGTAAAATGGGGCAAAATTCCACTTAGCCATGGTCTTGCTTAACAGTAGAAATTTTGAGCTCAAGTCGTAAGTCAAGGTAGTCCTTGACTTATGACCACAATGGAGCTCAAAAATTTCTGTGGCTAAGCAAGACAGTGGCTATGTGGAATTTTGCCCCATTTTATGACCTCCCTTGCCACAGTCACTGAGTGAGTCCCTGCAGTTGTTAAGTTAGCCACACGATTGTTAGGTGAATCCGGCTCCCCCATTGACTGAAGGTCACAAAAGGGGATCCCGTGATCCCCATAGGACACTGCGACCGTCGTAAATATGAACCAGTTGCCAAGCATCCAAATTTTCATCACGGGACACTGGGGATGCTGCCAAGGTGGTGTGAGAAACGGCTGCGAGTCATTTTTTTCAGCCCTGCTGTAACTTCAAACTGTCACTAAGTGAAGTGTTGTAATTCAAGGACTGCCTGTGTTCAGTAGTTTTTCATCGCTTGCCTTTCCACTATTCTGCTAGGCCGCAGGGGTAGGCAACCTTGGCTCTTTTATGACTCATGGACTTCAACTCCCAGAATTCCTGAGCCAGCATGGCTCAGCTTGGAAACCTCTCCCTTTCCCCTCAGCATGGCTGGCTCAGGAATTCTGGGAGTTGAAGTCCACGAGTCATGAAGGGGCCAAGGTTTCCCTCATGCTGGCTCAGGAATTCTGGGAGTTGAAGTCCACCAGTCATAAAAGAGCCAAGGTTACTTACCTCTGGCCTAGGCCTAGGCCGCTTTATAACTGGTGGACTTCAGCTCCCAGAATTCCTGAGCCAGCCTGGCTCAGCTTGGAAACCTCTCCCTTTCCCCTCAGCGTGGCTGGCTCAGGAATTCTGGGAGTTGAAGTCCACGAGTCATAAAAGAGCCCAGGTGGCCTACCCCTGTGCTGGGCGTTACTTCCTTTCTGCTAAATTGTTTTAGTTATACTTCTACTGTTTAGTTAGGCTCTAGGCAGTTGTGTTTTTTTTCTTTTTTAAGTGCTGGGATATTAGTGTGTGTTTTGTTTTGTTTTTAAAATACCACTCCAGGTATTGGAAGCAGCACCATTTTGAGGGAGTGTCTTTGATCCAAGGTGCCCTCCGTGAAGCCTACGGTGCGAATCCTCCCACTTTGACCTCAGCTGCCCTGCGCTGGGTCTACCATCACTCGGAACTGCAGGTGAGGCAAAGCTTTGCCTTCAGAACTGGAGAGAACATTAAAAAATGGGTCTCTGCTGTTTGTCTAGGGCAGGGGTAGGCAACCTTGGTCCTTTTATGACTCGTGGACTTCAACCCCCAGAATTCCTCGGCCAGCCAAGCTGGCTGAGGAATTCTGGGAGTTGAAGTCCACGAGTCATAAAAGAGCCAAGGTTGCCTACCCCTGGACTCTATGGAGATTCTCAGTCATCCAAGTCGTGGTTTGTCCCTAAGGTGCTTTTTCAAGAGGCAACTGGATTTTCTTTTCTTTGAAGCACACTGCCGACAGCCAAGCTTTGTGTAAACAAGGTGCCACTGAGAGGGAATCGAGATGGCCAGAGATGGGCCAGGCTGAGCCTCACCGTCCTTCTTGTACTCCCTGTGAAGGACGCACGACAAGGCCACCATGAAGTTAAGCCAGAGTGGTGAGGCCAGCTGCTCTTTGCCAACTTCAACCAGGAGAACACATCCCTGGCTGTTGGCAGCGTGTTTCAAAGAAAAACAAGTTGCCTCTTGAAAAAGCAGCTTTGGGGCTGTTTTTAAGAGCAGGCTTTGGGTCCCCGTGGCTGCTAAGTCTAGACTAGAGGGTCTTTAGAAAGTCTCAGATTTGCTTAACCTCTAACTCTTCTCTGCGGGGTGAGGAAGCGACGCCTTCTATTTTCAACCCAAATCCTCCTCCTTCCGTGACTTTATTCCCGAAGCAGAAATCGTAATTCAATCTGGCTGCTCGTGGAGTTTATTCCTCTTTCCTCCTCCAGGATAAATACGGAGACGCTGTGATTATTGGGATGTCCAACATGGACCAGCTGCAGGAGAATCTCCGCTCCAGCGAGGAGGGGCCTCTCGTCCCGAGCGTGGTGGTGGCCTTCGAGAAAGCCTGGCACCTCGCAGCCCACGACTGCCCCAACTACTTCCGCTGAAGGCGTGCCAGGGGGCCTCGGTTCTTGGGTAAAGTGGAATTAAATGGCGCTCGCTGCAGACACGAATCCTAACGTTGAATTATTGGTCCCACAAACGTCAATCGGTTATAAAGACAATGGAATGGGCTGTACATTCTTTTATACATTTTATAGACATATTCACACACAAATATATATATTCATCCTTTTAAAAAGTCATATTATGACAGTATCCTTAGGTTATTAGTTCAGTCCTCCATTAAGAAGAGAACAGGAGTTGTGAAACTCTTAAAAAAAACAAAGTCTATAGGCCTTTTTTCTGCCCTAGTTCTCTTCATTACTTTCATCCTCCTCCTTCTCCTCTTCCTCCATCGTTCCTGAACGGTCCCCTGTGGGGGTCTCCAGCTGCTCAAATTCTCCCGTCTCAGCATCCCACATGCTTCTGATCATCACCTTAAACTCTGCCATTGTGTATCCAAAGAGTTTCTGAAATAAAAAGAAATAAAAGCATGACACCTCAACCAGGGCACTCAGAACAGGAAAATCAAATCATCTGCGACAGTCTTAGGTACAGAAAAAATGGGGGAGGCCTCTGAGTTTCAGTAGAAACAGCTCACTGGCTATCAAGAAAACTAACATAAAGCTTTCAGGATTGATAAACAAAGGGAGATGAACTTCTGCAACAAGGGGGAAGAAATATCCAGGCGCTTCTTCTCACGAGAAAAGTCCATAATTGGAAGAAAAAAAGGACACTCTGAC